AATACCACTGGAATTGTGACAGGGATTAGGATAACACGTGTTGGTGACGATGTGGAGAAAAGACAATCCTTGCATACAATAAAATGTAGGAAAAAGGGAATATGTATGCCTGTAGTCACAATGGCATACTATTGAGGCTTAACACAGAACTGTGAGGAATATAGGAATATATGTTTCTGTATTCACAATGGAATATTATTCAGCCTTAAAATAGAAAAAAAATTGTTGTATTTGCGATGACATGGAAGAAACTGGACGACATTATGCTAAGTGAAATAAGCAGAGCACCAAAAGTCAAATACTGCATGATGTCATTCATGTGTGGATCCTTAAAAAGTTGAACTCTGCTTAGGAACTGATTAATTAACGAGAGAGAGAGAGAAAGAAAGGAGGGAGGGAAGGAGAAATAGAAAAAAGAAAAAATGTTGAACTCACAGAAGCAGAGAGTAGAATGGTGGTTACCCAGGGCTGGGTGTGGGGGATGAATTAGGCAGTTGTTGGAGAAATTCTGGGGAGAATTAGGCAAATGTTAGCCCTAAACTCCTGGACTCAAGCAGAACTCCGGCCTTGGCCTCCCAAAGTGCTGAGATGACAGTCATGAACCACTGTTTCCAACCACAAATAGACTTTTCAACAAATGGTGCTGAGGCAACTGGGTATTCATGTACAAATAAATTAATCTGGGTCCCTGCCTAACACCATACACAAAAATTAACTGAAAACAGATCACAGACCTAAATGTAAAACTAAAACAATAAAACTCTTAGAAGAAAACATGAGAGTAAATTCTTGTGCTCTTGTGTAAGGCACTGATGTCTTAGATACAACATTGAAAGCACAGTTGAAGACCAGTCAGGGCTACCTAATGAGACCTGGAAAAGGAGGAGAGGGAAAAAGCAAGAAAAAAAAAAACTGAACATCAGCTGAATTTAAAATTTTGGCACATGAAAAGATACAATCAGGAAAGGGGAAGACAGCCCGCGGAATGGGAGAAAATATTTATAAATCATATGTCTAATAACTGAGATATCCAGAAGAACTCTTACAACTCAATATTAAACGACAATCCAATTGAAAATGGGAAAAGAACATGAAGAAACGTTTCTCCAAAGATAATATTTTAATGTCCAATAAGCACATTAAAAAGTGTTCAACATCGTTAGTCACTAGGAAAATGCAAATTAATCCATCATGAGATGTCTCTTTCTACCCACTAGAATAACTACAACCAAGCAGACGCATAACACCAAGCACTGGAGAGCATGTGGAGGACAGTACCCTCATACACTGCCCGTGGGGATGTAAAATGGTACAGCCACTTTTTTGGAAGATAGTCTGACAGTTTCTCAAAATTGTTAAAAATAAGATTGCCTTCTCTAGCAGAACTGCCAAGGGCTGAAGACAAAAATCCTAGTAAAATAAAGTCAAATTTGCCTTAAAGTCAGCAACTTTACTTCTAGGTATCAAAGCAGGAAAAATGAAAATGTTGTTCACACACAGACTTGTAGGTGAATGTTCACAACAACACTCTCAAGAACCAAAAAGTGGAGACGAGCCAAATGCCCATCAACTGACAAAGGAATTCACATGTGGGAAATACAAAGGAATACTATGCAGCAATCAAAAATGAGTTCTGAGGCCTGCTACCACAGTGGTCAACCTCAACAACGCAATGCTTCGTGAAAGAAGCCAGATGCAGAAGAACACACATCGCATGATTTTGTTTATATGAGAGGTCCAGAACAGCCTAACATAGAGATAGAAAGCAGTGTACTGTTTGACTAGGGCTGGGAATGAGACTGAAAAGTGACTCTGATGGGCACAGGTTTCTTTCTGGGATGATGAAATGCTCTTAAACTAGATTTTGGTGATTGTTACATAATTCGGTAAATATACTAAAAGTCATTGAATTGGACCAAGCACAGTGGCTCACACCTGTAATCCCAGCACTTTGGGAGGCCACGGCAAGAAGATCACTTGAGCCCAGGAGTTCAAGAACAGCCTGGGAAACAGAGAGAGACTCCATCTCTACAAATAATTTAAACACTTAAACAGGTGTGGTGGCACAAGCCTGTAGTCTCAGGTACTCAGGAAGCTGAGGCAGGAGGATGACCGGATCCCAAGGGGTTGAGGCTGCCGTGAGCCATGATGGCACCACTGCACTCCAGCCTTGGTATCAGAGCTGAGAACCCTGGCTCGCTCTCTCTCTCTCTCTCTCTCTGACACACACACACACACACACACATCATTGTACACTTAAAATGGGTAAATTTTAATATGTAAATTACACCTCTATAAAGCTGTTAATTCTTTTAATTTTTTTTTTTTTTGAGACAGTGTTTTGCTGTTTTTGCCCAAGCTGGAGCACAATGACGCAATCTCAGCTCACCATAACGTCCGCCTCCCAGATTCAAGTGATTCTTCTGCCTTAGCCTCCCAAGCTCCCGCCATGATGCCTGGCTAATTTTTTGTATTTTTAGTACAGATGGGGTTTCACCATGTTGTCCAGGCTGGTGTGAAAGTCATGACCTCAGGTGATCCACCCGTCTCGGCCTCCCGAAGTGCTGGGATTACAGGCATGAGCCAGGCAGTGTTTTAAGTTTTAAAATTAAACTATTTACCCCTAGCGCTAAGGTTGTAGGCTCAAAATACCATTGCCCAATGAAAGAAAACAAGCCTTCCTGGAGAAAGTGCTGATTTCAGGTCTAGGCCAGAAATATGTAAGGAGCCTGGAACATACTGTGATCTGGAGAGCAGAGAATCCATCAAAAATCATTAGGATGATTTCAACATGTCTGAAGGGCCAATCTGAAGGGACTCCTTCTAACCAACGATAGGACATTTTGTGCATTAATCAGGATAATAGTTTCAGTGAATGGAGATATGTCAGATATGTTTGAATGTCTGCATTCATAGTGATCCTTTTGAAAAAATAAAAGTGGGCTGGCACAGTTCCTGATGCCTGTAATTTCAACACTCTGGGAGGCTAGGTTAGGAGGATCACTTCATCCAGGAGTTCAAGACCAGCCTGTGCAACACAGGGGGACTTTGTCTCTACAAAACATTTTTAAAATTACTCGGGTATGAGGGCCCATGCCTTTGGTCCCAGCTACTCAGGAAGCTGAGATGGGAGGGTCACCTGAGCCTAGATGATTGAGGCTGTAGTGGCATGACTGCTTCTCTGCATACCAGCCTGGGCAACACAGCTAGACCCTCCCTGTCTACATAAATTAACTAATAGAAGTGGTGACCATTGAAGGATGTAAATGAAACAGCCCATCATTTTGAAAAATGGTAAACAGAAGAAATCAAGCCACGAACTGGCGTTTTCTATATAAATTGTACAAGTGAGTAATACCATTTATAAGAAGCAGCATCTCTTTTTTATATTTACGTTACTGTTTTCTTCATACAAGGCCCTTCTTAGGGTAGCAGTATCTCTTTCTGGAAGTATGGCAGCTCATAAATGAAGAAGGAATGATACAACAATACCTTCATTGTTCAATCCATAATTGATCAATGGCCATTAACATCACTGATTAAAAAAGAAAAGATGTTCAGTGAGTACACACCTCCTCTCAGAAGAAACTAGCACAGTCTTTTTGTCCTGACCCTCAAGTCCAACCTGAATATGACCAAGTGTTGAGATCCAACTACTAATTTATAAAAACGAGAACAAAGTGAAGAGCAAGTTAACCAACATCGCAAGATACAATTAGCAAAATTCACAATATGGGAAACAGCATAATGAGAATACACTTAGCATAATCCAAACTATGGGGAAACGGCCTGAATTATTGAATAAATGAACTGCAAGGGACAACACAGAGATCAAAGTGGGAAGCTGTCATGATCAAAAACAACCCAAGAGGTGAATCAAACAATGCCAAAGAGAGACTTTATTTGGATCCTGATTCAAACTATAAATATATGAAATGACTGGAAATCTGGAGCTAGCAGGAGAGTTGACAGTGATAAAGAGCAGTGGTGTGAGAAGGTTGGTTGATGATGGTATTGGGATTACATTTTTTAAAGAGTTCTTGTCTCCGGGCACAGTGGTTCACACCTATAATCTCAGTAGTGTGGGAGGTCAAGGCAGGAAGATCCTTTGAATCCAGGAATTTTAGACCAGCCCGGGCAACATAGCAAGACCCTGTCTCTACTAAAATACAAATAAAACAATTAGCTGGGCATGGTGGTGTGAGTCTGTAGTTGCAGCTACTCAGGAAGCTGAGGCAAGAGAGGCTACAGTGAACCAAGATCATGCCACTGAACTCCAGCCTGGGTGACAGAGACCTTGTCTTGAACAAGCAAGAATCGTATCTTTTACAGACATATACCAAGACAGTCGGGGGGAAGTTATATGATGTGTGGGATTTGCTATAAAATCATGAGAGGAAGAGGAGAAGCATGTAGGAGTGTACATGTAACAAGATTGGCCATGAGATAACAAATATCTGAATCTGCTGCTGAGTAGGGGAAAGCTCACTACACTAGCCTCTTGTTCAAAAAGCTCCAGAATAGAAAGCTTGTCTAAAAATCCACTTCATGGATTTGTAACAAGCATTGAATAAGATCATGTATACAGAGTGCTTTATCACCGTGGCTTGCAGGTAGTCAGCACACAAACATTGTTTTTAGTTTTGTGTAGTCCCTGTCCATTAATCACACCCAAAAAAGGTCCGTTGTTCACAGCAAGAGCTCTGGCCCGTGGACCTCTGTCCACTTGGTGGTAATTTATTGGAATTTGAGGTTTAGAATGAGGAAATGCCAGGCTTCAAAGCCCCAGGCCTACTATGAAATAGCGAATCCAACAGTCCCACATGCCTTCGTAGCACACCTAGTTAGTAGGACCACTTTTCTCTCACCTTGTAGGCACACTTGTTCATTCACTCACTACTTTTCATTTGTTTCTTACGTGCCATGTATTGGGTGCTAGGGACCCATAATACAGTGGACCCATAATTCACTGGAAGCATCACTTTCAAAGCATCGTTTCAGGATGAGTATTTCATGTCAAGTGTATTCAAGGAAGAGTGTGAAGGATCCATGGCCTCAGTCACCATGAAGACCCTCCCAAGAGCCAGCCCTACTGGGCAGGTATAAATGAGTGGAGACATGGAACCCACCCTTACAAGGCCTAAACCTGACAGAGCACACAAGACAGAAGCCCAGATAACCAGGAGCAGGAAGCTGAAGGTGAGAGGTGGGCCCCAGAGGATTCTGGGAAAATGCTTTGTGTTTGTGGGATTTATCACGCAGAATGAAACCTTAGTTCTTAGTTTTTATTCACAGGTTAGACACGCTCTCTGTACAGAATCTATGAAGGGACATTTCAGAGCCCTTTGAGGCGTATAGTGAAAATGGAATATCTCAGGCAGCCCAGGATGAGTAATGCCGTCACCAAGAGGGGCAGGGTGGCCACAGGTGGCCAGCAGCAGGGATGGGCATTGTGAGCCATTGGATGGGGTTGTGGGGCATGGCATTGTGAGCCACTGGCCTGACTTTGTCGTTTCCTGGTAACGAGGTGACATAGGAGGCTTTGTGGGTGACAGGCACCAGCCAGGGCCAGCAGCCTTCAGTCGGAAGCTGTTAGTGGGGAGAGGAGGAGCTCCGACTGCTCTCACGGAAGCGTCTGTGCCCTTGGCGCTTGCTCTGTTGCTTTGTTTCTTTTCTGTTGGTCGTTTTTTTTTTTTTTTAATTTTGTGTGTTGCTTTGTTTTTTTATTTGTTGTTCTTTTTTGTGTTTATTTGTTCGTTTTTTATTTTTTTTTTATTTTTGTGTGTGTGGCGCTTTGTTTTGAAGGTCCCCTTCTGTATCACCATGGGAAATACATTCCTTTCCTGCCTAGGCCCCAGGGCTGGCCTCTGTTGTGCCTGCTGCAGGCAGAAGGTGGTGCCGTGCTGTGAATCCGAGACTCGGTCTGTGGCAGCTGCAGGGCCAGCATCCACCACTGCAGAGCCTGCCATGTCATATCCCAGAGTGGTGGATGTCCAGTATTTGCGGCGCATCAACTCAGAGAGGCGCAAAGGTAAAGAAGCCACGGGTGCCATTTGCTCTCTGGCACATCTCTGGCCACCACCTTCCCACTTCCTACCCATCCCGTCACCCCAGAGACATCCTCAGCTTCCAGCTCCCTCCTGCCTATAGCCACCTTTCCCAGGGCTGGGCATGGGGGGCAAAGGCTAGTCCTGCCTCTTGTCTTTGGTGTTGAGCCTTCTTGCTTGAGGCCTTTTTGGTCTAGTCTCTCTCTTTCCTCGATGAAAATTCAAAGACTCCAGTTTTGGAGTCTCCATCCCATCCTCTGGCCTGGCCTATCCAGCTAGGATGGTACCTCACTGAAGGAGCCGGTTAAAGGCCCGGCCGTTTCTTTTCTCCTATTCGATAAGGAAGCTACTAATTGGGATAATTCAGACTCAAATATTTGGAGACTTCTTAAATTTAAAACAGACTTTGCCATGGAAGAGATTACATGTTGTTCTTAATAGATGGTTTTAAGTCACCTTGACAGAAGCAGCTTTATTTCTTCCAATTGTAATTTGAAAACTGAAGGCAAACTTGAGGGACATGCTTAAAATGACTGCAAAAGGTTTGAAATGTTGCTGCCAGATCTCTAAAAAAAAAAAAAAAGTGGTTTTTGTTTTGGTTGTACCCAAAAGATTAGCCGTGGAGCTCTGAGTACTTTAAAATTCCCACTTTGACATGAATGACTCTTCAGCCCTACCCCAGTAACTTCATGGGCTTTGTTCACCTCCTTGTTCTGAGAGACAGATAGAGCTAGCTCATGGTTACAGGTTCCAAAAGAGATGAAATGACTTCAGACTTGAATTTGTAGGGTAGAGACTTGAGAGTGGGAAGGCAGCCCCTGCCTGTGGGGACAGTTTGCTTTCATGGCTCCCCTTCCTACAGGATGGGAAAGGGGAGGAGGGAGGAAACGTTCCATTTTTTTGCTATGGTCAAATTGAAGCCAAAAACGAACACTTGTAGGACAGGAGAGGAGCATTCAGTTACAAAATCAGTCAAACATTGTGTATCACTGCACCTGTTGAGCAAATGAAAGCTACCGGACTCAGAAAACCGAGATGCTAATGGAACTGACATTAGTAACGAGGGTTTTCTGCTGAGTTCAGCGCCCAGAGTGACTTCGGATAACGACCACCCTCCCCTCCACACACACACTGTTCTCAGGAGTGGAAAGCTCAGGCAGCCCAGGATGAATAATGCAGTCACACATTGGGGCAGGTGACCACAAGGTGGGCAGCAGCAGGGATGGGCATTGTGAGCCATTGGGTGGGGCTGTGGGGCGGGGCATTGAGAGCCACTAGCCTGACTTGGTTGTTTCCTGGTAACCGGGTGACATAGGCTTTTTGGGTGATAGGCATCAGCCAGGGCCAGCAGCCTTCAGTCTAAAATCCCTTAGAATTTTAGAAATAGATGAATCTAGCTACAGATAATTATGGGTAACCAGTTCCTTGAACAAAAACTAAGTCCACTGAAATAGAAAACATTATATCATAAAGACACAGCAATATGATCAGCTCATTTCTTTCATTTTAATGGCAGAGATTTTATTAGTATGGAGAAAATGTCTTAACCGCTCTTGTATTTAAACTTCCGTTTGGCTCTTATTTTCTTTCACAGAATAATTAAGCCTCACAATGGGTGTGCCTTTGTAACGAGGAAGTGCTGTACTCCCTTTTCAGAATATTGAAAAATTGTGAAAGAATGAACAAATAATGATGAGACTTAATAGACTGTACCTTATACACAAGCATGCAAGTAGCTGTGGAAACTCCTTGCTTGGTGTGTACGGGAAGCCTGTGTGTCACAGTCTGTACGATTTGATAGATGAGGTAGTGAGAGAACAAAGTGAGCCTTTTCAGTTATTCTTTTGGATGTAAAACGTGTTTTCATGTACATCTTATCGGAACCTTCCAAGGTACAATAAGGACCTGTGTGTATTCTCCCTATGTTGCTGATGCAGAAAGGAAGGCTTAGAGATCTGGAGGGACTGTGAGACAGCTACTGAACAGAACTGAGGTTCTAAGTCGTCAGAGTAGACATGGAGGTCGTAGCGATGCCAAACTCAGTTCTTAAAGAACTTGACAAACTCCAGAATGCCTTATATTGTAAGGTCTACCCATAACATAGAGCTCTCTTAGAAGTTACTTTCATCTTGATTAGTTCCTTATGCATTTTAATTTACACAACGTACAGGCAACATTTACCTCTCCATTTTTCGTCCTAAAGAGATGGGTCCTCGCTGTGAGGCACAGGCCGGCTTCTGACTCCTGGCCTGGGCTTAAGCACTCCTGCTGCCTCAGCCTGTAGAAGAGCTGACAATACAGGCCTGTGCCGTCTCTCCTGGCTCTGCCTTCTGTCTATACATTTATTGAAATGGATAAGGATAAAAATAGAGGTAACAAAATGGCCTAAATTTACCAGTCAAATCAACAGTTTAATAAATGTTGAAGAGTTTCTTCTGCTAACTGATGTGAAGCTGAGAATGCCATGGTCAGGAGAAGCTGGCCAGAGGGCAGGTAAAGCCCCACACATTCGGCACAGGATACGAGTCAGAAGTGTTAGGTCAGAGCAGTTGAAGGAAAAGTAGTTTGTGAGCACAGAATCTACCGTTTTATGTGTATGTGCATGAGAGTCAGTTTCCATGTGTCTCTTCAAATGTATTTTTGTGGTATTCAATAGAGGGATAACAGAAACCTCAATTTCAGTGTTTATTCTTTGGCCAGGCGTGGCGGCTTATGCCAGTAATCCCAGCATTTTGGGAGGCCGAGGTGGGCGGATTACCTGAGGTCAGGAGTTGGGGACCAGCCTGGCCAACATGATGAAACCCCGTCTCTACTAAATATACAAAAAATTATTGAGGCGTGGTGGCACGTACCTGTAATCCCAGCTACCTGGGAGGCTGAGGCAGGAGAATCGCTTGAATCCAGGAATTGCAGGTTACAGTGAACCGAGATCGCGCCAATACACTCCAGCCTGGCTGGGCAAATAAAACAAGAAAGAAACATGTTGAGAACACTCAATATAAAGTATAGGCACATTCCAAGTTTGTTGTTAATATCTTTATTCAGAAAATTGTGTATCACTTTTCTTGGAAAGTGATACATTCCTATTTAGATGTGAAAGATTTTAGCCTTTCTGTAATGAGGAATTGAATTCTTTTGGTGACTTACACAAATATCACAGCAACCAGTGCTCCAACCATTCTGTGGCACACTAAACAGTCATGTAAAGTCATCAGGTAGAGCAGGGCACACTGCTGTGGAAAGACATCCTGGAGTGCTCTCTAGGTGGCAAGTCCAGTTTCAGGAACTCATGCCATAAATGATGCTCTGCTTCGTTGTTCTCTTCTGAAGTATTTCAGAAGAACGTTGTGTCATGAAGCCATTTCAAAGAGACGTTCTAAGAACCCACTTTAGATGTCAGACAGACTCAAGCATATTTCCTCTTATCTTGCCTTTATTTGGCAGTGTATCTAATATGACTGGGGGTAATATAAGTAACACAGATTAAGATAGTAAGAGCTCATATCCCATTTTATCACGACCCATCAACTTTCCATGCAGCCTTCTGTGTTCTCACCTTAGGAGCGCTGCTAATTTGCGGGCTCTCTCAAGTGAGGGGTCAGGGAAGGGAAAGAATGGGCATACGATGTAGACACCTCTGAGCAGCAGGTCTTTCTGCTTTCTAGTAGCCATTTTCAACCCTCCTTTTAAAATAACTATCAGTGTGTTTCATGTAAAAGAAGTAGAAAATAAAGAAAAATTATTTATTATACTCAGAATACCCAGAGCTCACTTGTGTTACTATTTGATTACTGGTTCTTTTGGAAATTTTTGGTATGCATTTGAATATCATATTTTATTCGACAAACTTTTTTATAAAATAAAAGTTTTTGATCATTTTATGTGCTGCCTTGTAACTTTTACTTTAAGCAGTGAAATAATGGCATAAGTTTCTCAAACCGTACTTGACACCTAGCGAGCACTCCAGGATGTCTTTCCCTGCCAGGGCACCCTGCTCTACCTGATGACTTTGAATAACTGCTTAGTCTACTACGGACTGGTTAGAGCATTATTTATTTACCTACCCTTTGCGATTGGCCGTCTTTTTTCATAAAGTCAGACACAATCCTGTTATGTTTGATTCTAAGAACGCACATAAAGCACATGTTGATGACAGATGCGTGATATCTTGTGATAAAATTCAGATAATATATTTTTTCTAGTGACATAATTAAACCCATGAAATGAGTCATTTTGTATTTAAGGTATTTTAGTATTAAATATACTTGTGTCAAACTGCAGTTACCGTTGACTTTTAAATAGACATTAACATTCTTCATTTATGTTTTTGTGGATCTCGATAGCTTGTGTCTTTAATTCTAAAGAGCTACCAGTTTAAAAAATCTGATGCTGTCTTAGATGATAAATCAAAAGACAACTTTAGCAGATCTGGGAGAATTCTAGTTTGGGGTAAAATGAAATCTATTTCTTGAGCACTTTTAAATGGCCTGGCAGTGTTGCAGATGCGGGGCAAACAGTGGAACACAACATAGAGCCCCATTCCACGTCTGACCCTTACATTCGATCCGTAGGTAAGGGCAGATAGCACATGAACAGTGAAGGTGATGACGTGCTGGGAAGAAAGTAAAACAGGGTGATCGATTAAAGAGGAGGGCAGTTTTATGGAGGGTTTTGGGTAAGAGCTGGATGTTCTCTTTAAGTGACACGTGAACAGTCTTAAAAGTGAAATGGGCTGTGTGTAGGGGCTCCCACCTTTAATCCCAGCACTTTGGAAAGCCAGGATGAGGGGATTCCTTGAGGCTGGAAGTTTAAGACCAGCCTGGCCAACACAGAGACACCCCATCTTGATAGTTTTTAAAAATAAAAAAGTGAAGGGAACCTTGTGAGGATGATGGGAGAGGGCTTCCAGGAGGGATATCTGCTTTGGAATTCCTGAAATAGAAACAACGTCGTTTTAGGCAAAGGACAGAAAGACACAAGGGTGGCTGCAGCAGAGTGAAAGGGCGCTGGGATGGATAAGGTGGGTGACGGCCTTGTACACGTAGTGAGCACTCACAGAGAAGGTGGACTTCAGTTGCGATGGAAAACCACTGGAGGATTATAGCCCAGGGGTTACTGTTAATTCTCTAAGAAAAAGGCTGAGCAGCGGCTCCGTGCGAATATGCTGTAATACAGGCACGGGTGGAAGCAGAAGAGCAGCTCGGAGGCTGGTGGAGTAGTTCAGGTGAGAGCCGACAGCGAAGAGGAGAGTAACGATGACCTGAAAGAGGCTGACTTGAGAAAATCAAGTGAATCTCAAAGTAGATGATAAAGCGGTAAATAGACCAGTCACAGAAAAAGAAATGCAGGCGATTTTTAAACACATCTTCACTCATAAGAGAAAGGCAAATGACAGCTCTACTGTCTCTCCTATGGAGGGAAATTCCAAAAACATGGCAGAACGTTCTTTGGTTTGGCTGTAAGGAAAGTTGCATTCCTAGATTGCTGGTGGAAATGCAAAAAGGCTCAGCTCCATGAAGGGGAATTTGGCAACAATCTCACAACCTTGCAAATGCATTTAAACCAGACATCCAACATTGAGGAATTTTGTCCTGAAGATATACTCCATAAATGTAAAACAAACTATGCACAAAGTTCTCGTTGCATTATTTTCAATAGTTAAATATTGGAAATAACTGACATGCGTAGTAAAGGACTAGTAAAGTAAGCTGGTGCTTCTACATAGAGGAGAAGTATGGAGCTGTCAAAAAGAGTAAGATGTCTTTTTATTGCTATGGAGTGATTCCGAAGATAGGGTACGCAGAAAAGCAAAAAGAACATGCAGTAATACACATGAAAGAAAGCAGGGGAAATAAGGTGTATTTCATTATTTAAAAATAAAAGCCGGCCGGGCAAGGTGGCTCAAGCCTGTAATCCCAGCACTTTGGGAGGCCGAGGCGGGTGGATCACGAGGTCAAGGGATCGAGACCATCCTGGTCAACATGGTGAAACCCCGTCTCTACTAAAAATACAAAACATTAGCTGGGCATGGTGGCCTGTGCCTGTAATCTCAGCTACTCAGGAGGTTGAGGCAGGAGAATTGCCTGAGCCCAGGAGGCGGAGGTTGCGGTGAGCCGAGATCACGCCATTGCACTCCAGCCTGGGTAACAAGAGCGAAACTCCGTCTCAATAAATAAATAAATAAATAAAAATAAAAGCCAGCGTTGGTGAGGTCTTGATGAAGACCTGTGACAGCTTAGCTTTCTCCTTAACTTCACTGGGCAGCCAAAGTGCATATTTTCTCAAAATGTTATTTTGCTCTGGGTTTTGCAAAGGATGTTAACTGTGCACTTTTCGCCTTTGAGTTAATTAGAGAAAGCTTTGCTTTGTAATTTATTGTGCATTACATAATATACAGACTGCTCTTTCATTTTATTTGATCCTCTCCATGTTTTGAGTTAGGAGTAAAATGGGAATTATGCTTGTGTTACATATGAGGAGGCTGGTTTTAAGAAGACTGAGTATATCAAGAATGTAATTCTAAATATATGGCATATACAACTAGAATTTATAAAAAGGTGTGCATATGGCCTGCTTCAAATACTACCTTTTCTATAAAAACCTTTTTTTTTTTTTTTTTTTTTTTTTTAGCTTACTAAAGCAATTAAGCCTCAGGATAAAAACAGCAATATTACATAGTTAGAAATGAAATGGGTATACTTGTAACACAGTAATGCTTTTTATTTTGAAGAGACAGGGATCTTGCTTTGCCACCCAGGCTGGAGTGCAGTGACGTGATCATAGCTCACTGCAGCCTCAATCTCCTCGGCTCAAATGAGCTTCCCACAACAGTCTTCCATGTAGCTGGGGATACAAGGGCTCACCACCACATCTGGTAATGTTTAGAAGATTTTTTGTAGAGATGAGGTCTGACTGTGTTGCCTAGGTTGGTGTCAAACTTCTGACCTCAAGCAATCTTCCTGCCTTAGCCTCCAAAAATGTCAGGATTGCAGCCATGAGCCAGCACACCTAGCCCGGAAATGTTCTTAAAAGTCTGAAGAAATAAGTTAAATGCTATTAAGAAATATGTAGAGTGAAACTCCATCTGAAAAAAAAAAAAAATGTAAAAAGATAAATATATACTATGGTAAATGAAATTCACAGTTCAGTCATGGTCACTACAGCAGTGATTAAAATATCCAACGGTTCAGGCCAGTCTGAGAACTAAGGGATGTACAGGATTGGTTTGGAAGCCAGAATTAGGATTGTCAGAGCTGGGAAAGCAGAAGCAAGGCAAGAGTGTGCACAGGAGTGGGGCACGCAGCGTCTCCGTGGTGTGCCGTGTGCGCGGGAGTGGGGCACACAGCGGCTCCGTGGTGTGCCGTGTGCGCGGGAGTGGGGCACGCAGCGGCTCCGTGGTGTGCCGCGAGCACGGGAGTGGGGCACGCAGCGGTTCCGTGGTGTGCCGTGTGCGCGTGAGTGCGGCACGGAGCGGCTCCGTGATGTGCCGCGTGCGCGGGAGTGGGGCACGCAGCGGCTCCGTGGTGTGCCGTGTGTCCTCTTTTACGGGAGACCAGCTGCAGCCCAGCAGATGAGAATCACCTGATGGGTAGAAAGAGTGGATTCAGGTAAAATCTCAGACTGTGTATCGTAACTGAGAGACTTATGTTTGCCTTATGGGTCATAAAAGTAGTAAAAGTGACAACATATGGATAAAAGAGTAGGTCAGTAAATGCGGTAAGCCACCTGCCACGTCTCCAGAGCATCAACCATCCCACAGATGTATTGGGGCAGCAGGATTTGACAAAGCTTGTGAGAAGAGCTCTCGGTCCAGGGTCCAGGGCATGATCTAGAGGACTCAGGTGTTCCGGGATCTCTATCCCCAGGGAACCAACTACATTCTTACCTCAGATCTGTCACTCCTCACTGTGGTGACTCTGGACAAGTCACTCAAAATGGCTGAGTTTTAATTCACTGAATTGGAACATATGGGTTGTAGCCCCTTCCCTGCCTGTCCCTTGGGGCTGATGTGGGGATCAGGGAAATCACAGAAGTCACTTTCCATCCGATCCTCCCCTGCACAGGAGACATGCAGGCTCCCTCTCTGTATTCAACCTCTACCAAGTATCTGGATTATTCTTCTCAACATTGATTGAACATTTTAGGGCATTTACAAAAACATTGAGTCCTTTTAAGTCTTTATCTGCATTTCATTCTTTTAGGCGCTATGGACCTTAGTAGATCTATAGCATAGACCTGCTAAGGTTTCCACATCTCAGAATAGGAAGAGAGGCACAGATGGGTTCTTATCCCTCTCCCATGTATGTGCAGATTCCAAGTAGGATTTGAACCCAGCCTGTTCTCGGTAACTTGGATCTTCTGCTTTTCTATATTGTCTCATCTGAATAAAGGTATCTGCCTACACAAACAAATCTTCCTAGAACCCAGATCTAATTCAGGTAGAGTTGAAAAGCAGTTGGTGAAAACCAGGATCAAAAGTTTAAACTGTGAATAAGTTTTTACTAATTTCTTTGTGGTCCTCTGCCAGCAAGATGTCAAGCACTGTCTTTATTATGATACATTTCTACCTTGCAGGTTTGGCTGGCCGCGCCAAGAGCTGGGTAAAAAAAAAGTGGAAGCCTAAGAAAACTTGCCGCACTGAAAGTGAAGGTAGGGTAGAGTTTACTCATCCAGTGTCCCATATTAGAGAAAGTCAGTAAATGCTATGTCATATTCTTCATTTATTGCATTTGTGCCCATTTAAATGCATTAAATCAATGGTGGGTGATGCAGCTACACAAGGAAACTTACATTGACAACTTAGTTTGTTACTTAGTTTTTTACAGACAAGTAAGTTACGTTGTCTGTTTGTTTGTTTTTGTGAAAAGGTCTCATTTTGTCACTGGGAGTGCATTGGTGCAATCACAGCTCCTTGCAATCTTGACCTCCCATGTTCAGGTGATTCTTCTACCTCAGCCTCCCAAGCAGATGGCTGTAATGCACATGCCTTTATACCAAGCTTTTTATTTTAACTTTAATTTCTTTTGTAGAGATGGAGTTTCACCCTGTTGCCCAGGCTTGGTTCACTTTTGATGGTAAAGGACATCTCAAATGTTTAGACATTTGCTTTCAGTTTGGGCAGTTATGAATACAGCAATTATAAACCTTCTTGTGTCTTGTTTGGAAACATAATTTCAAAAATGTAACTAAGGCAATACTAAAATTATGATTACTTGCTTGTATGGTAAGACTACATGTTTCTTTGTAAGAATTTTGGTAGAATTTACTGGTAAAATCATCTGAAGGTAGTGTTTTTGTTCTTTTGAGAAGATACTAATTATTGATTTAGTTTCTAAAATAAATATAGACCTATTCAGTTGATTAATTTGTCCTGAGAAGACTTTTAACCTTCTGAAACAGATCCAAAAAATTAGCTCACTTCGTATAATGTATCTAAGTGTGAGCACAGATGTGTTCAGAATATTCCTTTATTATTGTTTTTTGAGTTTACTACTCTTGAACTGATATTATTACTACATTGAAACTTCCTTCTTTCCTTTGTGGTTAGACAAGTTAGAGGTTTATCAACGTCTGGTTTTTTGTTTCGTTGCTTTTCTCTGATGATTTCCTGGTTTTTATTCCATTAATTTCTGCAGTCATTATTTATTTTTTCTCTGTTGGACATTACAGTGCTGTTTTTCTTTCATTGCCACAGGTGGAAGCTAGATTATGAATGTAGATTTTTCTCATTATTGACACATCATCATGAATGTGACTCACTGAATATAATATCATTAAAATGCACACTTAATTAAAATAATAAATCTATATACTTTACTACAATTTTTAAAATACACCAGGTTAGATGATAAATGTAGTAGCAGGATATGTAGTTCCACAGAAGTTAAATAAACCTGTAACCTTTCCTAAAACGTGGGGATTTGCCTGGACCTTCACATGGACAGCAGGTGTGATGAGATGCTCTCGCTGAGCCATACAGTACCTTTCTGTATTAACCGGTTCCTAGACTATTTCACACTGATGAGGTTGCCCTAGCCAGGAAGCCAAGGCTCTTTCATTTCTCTCTGCCCCTCTCCTTTGCCTTCCTTCAGCACCAAGGAGAATGGTCCAGCAGCAGCTCAGTCCGTGCTTGTCAGCCGCCCAGCTCCACACACTCCAGCCCCCGTCCACATTCCCCAAAGCTCTTAATGAGATTTCTCAGCAGCACCCATGCCCTGACTGTCACTGTGTGTTCTCCTAGCTCCTGTTGACCAACCAGAGGACTTTACCCTTGGCAGTGAGGAGGAGGAGGTGGCCTCTGACATGGTAACTTACATTTCTTTGTCTGGAAATTTTTTTTGTGTTGGGCTTCTACACTATGAGGCCAATATGATTTTTGACTGCCATCATAAATCAGGCTCAGGGGGTTGTGGGCTCTAGTGACTGGTCACTGGAGATTATGACCAACTGAGGCCTGGTGGACGATGTTCATCAAAAGAGGGCATCACCTACAAACTGGTCGATAGCATATTTCTCAATAGCAGCATTATCTTCTTGAAAAAATAATTTCGTATTTCCTAGCCAACATAGACACTTGCTAAATGTTCCAAACCCACTGCATTTTCTGCAAGCATCCTCTGTGTGTTATTTGGGGCCAGTGACTTGATCACTGTTCTACATCTGGTTTTCTCATTGTTGTGGTTGTTGTTGCTGTTATTTTGAGACAGCATTTCTCTCAACAGGCTACAGTGCAGTGGTGTGATCTCGGATCATTGTAACCTCTACCTACTGGGTTCAAGCAGTTCTCCTGCCTCAGTCTCCTGAGTAGCTGGGACTACAGGCTCACGCCACCACCATGCCCATCTTCTTTGTAGTTTTTAGTGTAGACGGGGTTTCACCATGTTGGCCAGGATGGTCTCAATCTCTTGACCTCATGATCTGCCCACCTTGGCCTCCCAACCTGCTGGGATTACATGCGTAAGCCACCGCACGTGGCCTGCCATCTGGTTTTCTAATGTCACCAAGTGAATAAAAGACCTGTGCCAACGGGACCCAGCGTGATGTAATCCTCACGGTGTTTCTTTTTCTCTTATTGCAGGAGAAGCCTGCCGCCCAGTATCACCACCGTACGTATTCTTTTTCTTTTAAAGAGTTACTCAGACATAGTTGACATGCAAACCAATTCACCCATTTAAAGTAGGTGATTCAGTGTTTTTACTATATTTACAGGGTTGTGCAGCCATTGTTACAATCTAATTTTAGAAGCTCTTGATTCCCCCTCAAAAAACCCCATTAGTTGTGACTCCTCTGTTTTCCCCAACCCCCACACCCCTCGTTCTAGGCAGCCCTAATCTCCTTCCTGTTTCTATAGTACACTGCCTTTCTGTATTCACCGGTTGTTCAAATGACTATTTCACACTGATGAGGTTGCCCTAGCCAGGAAGCCAAGGCTCTTTGATTTCTCTCTGCCCCTCTCCTTTGCCTTCCTTCAGCACCAAGGAGAATGGTCCAGCAGCAGCTCAGTCCGTGCTTGTCAGCCGCTCAGCTCCACACACTCCAGCCCCCGTCCACATTCCCCAAAGCTCCTTGTGAGATTCCTCAGCAGCACCCGTGCCCTGACCGTCACTCTGTGTTCTCTTAGGTCCTGTTGAGGTCCTGCAGGACCTGGTTTTGGAGGACGTGGAGGAGGAGGAGCTGCCCTCTGTCCTGGTGAGATGCATTTCTTCATCTTGAAGAGAAATGTTTTTTCCTGGGGCTTCTAGAATATCAAGTCCAAACGCAGCTTTTAGAAGAAACGTGTTTCTACCTCGCTGAATCTAAACATAGATGCAACTTCCTAAAAGGAACCAACACACAACCGATGAGTTCTAAGAAGCGGGTCTTCTGTGTTTTAAACGCATTCTTACTGCTAACTCTTATAAGCGTCTCTAGGGCGGGAAAAGACTGTCTCTGCATTCTCCAAAGAAAGGGTTTCTGAACTGCTGCAAACACACATCAGTTTAACTCTGGAAGTTGAATACACACATTGACAACCATTCTGCTAGATAGCTCCGTTTTGGTTTTAGAGCAAGGTATTTCTCTTTACAGCCTGTTCTCCCATCCACTCTGGAATGTCCAAACGCAGCTTTTAGAAGAAACGTGTTTCTTCCTCTCTGAATCTTAACATAGATGCAACTTCCTAAAAGGAACAAACACACAGCAGATGAGTTCGTAAGAAGCGGGTCTTCTGTGTTTTAAACGCATTCTTACTGCTAACCCTTATATGCGTCTCCAGGGCTTGAAATGAGGGTTTCTGCATTCTCCAAAGGAAGGGTTTCTGAACTGCTGCAAACACACATCAGTTTAACTCTGGAAGTTGAATACACACACTGACAACCATTCTGCTAGATAGCTCCGTTTTGGTTTTAGAGCAAGGTATTTCTCTTTACAGCCTGTTCTCCCATCCACTCTGGAATGTCCAAACGCAGCTTTTAGAAGAAACGTGTTTCTACCTCCCTGAATCTAAACATAGATGCAACTTCCTAAAAGGAACCAACAGACAACAGATGAGTTCGTAAGAAGCGGGTCTTCTGTGTTTTAAACGCATTCTTACTGCTAACTATGATAAGCGTCTCTAGGGCGGGAAAAGACTGTTTCTGCATTCTCCAAAGAAAGGGTTTCTGAACTGCTGTAAACACACATCAGTTTAACTCTGGAAGTTGAATACACACATTGACAACCATTCTGCTAGATAGCTCCGTTTTGGTTTTAGAGCAAGGTATTTCTCTTTACAGCCTGTTCTCCCATCCACTGGGGAATGTCCAAACGCAGCTTTTAGAAGAAACGTGTTTCTACCTCGCTGAATCTAAACATAGATGCAACTTCCTAAAAGGAACCAACACACAGCAGATGAGTTCGTAAAAAGCGGGTCTTCTGTGTTTTAAACGCATTCTTACTGCTAACTCTTATAAGAGTCTCTAGGGCGGGAAAAGACTGTTTCTGCATTCTCCAAAGAAAGGGTTTCTGAACTGCTGCAAACACACATCAGTTTAACTCTGGAAGTTGAATACACACACTGACAACCATTCTGCTAGATAGCTCCGTTTTGGTTTTAGAGCAAGGTATTTCTCTTTACAGCCTGTTCTCCCATCCACTCTGGAATGTCCAAACGCAGCTTTTAGAAGAAACGTGTTTCTACCTCGCTGAATCTAAACATAGATGCAACTTCCTAAAAGGAACCAAAACACAACAGATGAGTTCTAAGAAGCGGGTCTTCTGTGTTTTAAACGCATTCTTACTGCTAACTCTTATAAGAGTCTCTAGGGCGGGAAAAGACTGTTTCTGCATTCTCCAAAGAAAGGGTTTCTGAACTGCTGCAAACACACATCAGTTTAACTCTGGAAGTTGAATACACACATTGACAACCATTCTGCTAGATAGCTCCGTTTTGGTTTTAGAGCAAGGTATTTCTCTTTACATCCTGTTCTCCCATCCCCTCTGGAATGTCCAAACGCAGCTTTTAGAAGAAACGTATTTCTACCTCGCTGAATCTAAACATAGATGCAACTTCCTAAAAGGAACCAACACACAGCAGATGAGTTCGTAAGAAGCGGGTCTTCTGTGTTTTAAACGCATTCTTACTGCTAACTCTTATATGCGTCTCCTGGGTTGGAAATGCCTGTTTCTGCATTCTCCAAAGAAAGGGTTTCTGAACTGCTGCAAACACACATCAGTTTAACTCTGGAAGTTGAATACACACACTGACAAACATTCTGCTAGATAGCTCCGTTTTGGTTTTAGAGCAAGGTATTTCTCTTTACAGCCTGTTCTCCCATCCACTCTGGAATGTCCAAACGCAGCTTTTAGAAGAAACGTGTTTCTACCTCGCTGAATCTAAACATAGATGCAACTTCCTAAAAGGAACCAACACACAACAGATGAGTTCGTAAGATTCGGGTCTTCTGTGTTTTAAACGCATTCTTACTGCTAATTCTTATAAGTGTCTCCAGGGCGGCAAAAGACTGTTTCTGCATTCTCCAAAGAAAGGGTTTCTGAACTGCTGCAAACACACATCAGTTTAACTCTGGAAGTTGAATACACACATTGACAACCATTCTGCTAGATAGCTCCGTTTTGGTTTTAGAGCAAGGTATTTCTCTTTACACCCTGTTCTCCCATCCACTCTGGAATGTCCAAACGCAGCTTTTAGAAGAAACGTGTTTCTTCCTCGCTGAATCTAAACATAGATGCAACTTCCTAAAAGGAACAAACACACAGCAGATGAGTTCGTAAGAAGCGGGTCTTCTGTGTTTTAAACGCATTCTTACTGCTAACTCTTATAAGCGTCTCTAGGGCGGGAAAAGACTGTTTCTGCATTCTCCAAAGAAAGGGTTTCTGAACTGCTGCAAACACACATCAGTTTAACTCTGGAAGTTGAATACACACATTGACAACCATTCTGCTAGATAGCTCCGTTTTGGTTTTAGAGCAAGGTATTTCTCTTTACAGCCTGTTCTCCCATCCACTCTGGAATGTCCAAACGCAGCTTTTAGAAGAAACGTGTTTCTACCTCGCTGAATCTAAACATAGATGCAACTTCCTAAAAGGAACCAACACACAGCAGATGAGTTCGTAAGAAGCGGGTCTTCTGTGTTTTAAACGCATTCTTACTGCTAACCCTTAAAAGCGTCTCTAGGGCGGGAAAAGACTGTTTCTGCATTCTCCAAAGAAAGGGTTTCTGAACTGCTGCAAACACACATCAGTTTAACTCTGGAAGTTGAATACACACACTGACAACCATTCTGCTAGATAGCTCCGTTTTGGTTTTAGAGCAAGGTATTTCTCTTTACAGCCTGTTCTCCCATCCACTCTGGAATGTCCAAACGCAGGTTTTAGAAGAAACGTGTTTCTACCTCGCTGAATGTAAACATAGATGCAACTTCCTAAAAGGAACCAACACACAACCGATGAGTTCGTAAGAAGCGGGTCTTCTGTGTTTTAAACGCATTCTTACTGCTAACTCTTATAAGCGTCTCTAGGGCGGGAAAAGACTGTTTCTGCATTCTCCAAAAAAGGGTTTCTGAACTGCTGTAAACACACATCAGTTTAACTCTGGAAGTTGAATACACACATTGACAACCATTCTGCTAGATAGCTCCGTTTTGGTTTTAGAGCAAGGTATTTCTCTTTACAGCCTGTTCTCCCATCCACTCTGGAATGTCCAAACGCAGCTTTTAGAAGAAACGTGTTTCTACCGCGCTGAATCTAAACATAGATGCAACTTCCTAAAAGGAACCAACACACAGCAAATGAGTTCGTAAGAAGCGGGTCTTCTGTGTTTTAAACGCATTCTTACTGCTAACTTTTTTAAGCCTCTCTAGGGCGGGAAAAGACTGTTTCTGCATTCTCCAAAGAAAGGGTTTCTGAACTGCTGCAAACACACATCAGTTTAACTCTGGAAGTTGAATACACACATTGACAACAATTCTGCTAGATAGCTCCATTTTGGTTTTAGAGCAAGGTATTTCTCTTTACAGCCTGTTCTCCCATCCACTCTGGAATGTCCAAACGCAGCTTTTAGAAGAAACGTGTTTCTACGTCGCTGAATCTAAACATAGATGCAACTTCCTAAAAGGAACCAACACACAGCAGATGAGTTCGTAAGAAGCGGGTCTTCTGTGTTTTAAACGCATTCTTACTGCTAACACTTATATGCGTCTTTAGGGCTGGAAATGACGGTTTCTGCATTCTCCAAAGAAAGGGTTTCTGAACTGCTGCAAACAACCATCAGTTTAACTCTGGAAGTTGAATACACACGTTTACAACCATTCTGCTAGATAGCTCCGTTTTGGTTTTAGAGCAAAGTATTTCTCTTAACAGCCTGTTATCCCATCCACTCTGGAATGTCCAAACGCAGCTTTTAGAAGAAACGTGTTTCTTCCTCGCTGAATCTAAACATAGATGCAACTTCCTAAAAGGAACCAACACACAGCAGATGAGTTCGTAAGAAGCGGGTCTTCTGTGTTTTAAACGCATTCTTACTGCTAACTCTTATAAGCGTCTCTAGGGCGGGAAAAGACTGTTTCTGCATTCTCCAAAGAAAGGGTTTCTGAACTGCTGCAAACACACATCAGTTTAACTCTGGAAGTTGAATACACACACTGACAACCATTCTGCTAGATAGCTCCGTTTTGGTTTTAGAGCAACGTATTTCTCTTTACAGCCTGTTCTCCCATCCACTCTGGAATGTCCAAACGCAGCTTTTAGAAGAAACGTGTTTCTACCTCGCTGAATCTAAACATAGATGCAACTTCCTAAAAGGAACCAACACACAGCAGATGAGTTCGTAAGAAGCGGGTCTTCTGTGTTTTAAACGCATTCTGAGTGCTAACTTTTATAAGCCTGTCTAGGGCGGGAAAAAACTGTTTCTACATTCTCCAAAGAAAGGGTTTCTGAACTGCTGCAAACACACATCAGTTTAACTCTGGAAGTTGAATACACACACTGACAACCATTCTGCTAGATAGCTCCGTTTTGGTTTTAGAGCAAGGTATTTCTCTTTACAGCCTGTTCTCCCATCCACTCTGGAATGTCCAAACGCAGCTTTTAGAAGAAACGTGTTTCTACCTCGCTGAATCTAAACATAGATGCAACTTCCTAAAAGGAACCAACACACAGCAGATGAGTTCGTAAGAAGCGGGTCTTCTTTGTTTTAAACGCATTCTGAGT